TAAGCTCTTCGCAGGCCAGACCCTTCACAAGTGACTTACCTCTTGGTTGTCGAGACGTCGACTTGGACGTCACGGATCAAGGCCTCCATCTTGGTAGAGTATCCCACCGTGTTGAAGTAATCCGCATCATCCGCGCCTGACGTCGTTTGTGCGGAAGTGTCAGGAAGACCCCTGGCATCCACCGCAGGCCCGTCTACTCTCACATGCGGAATCGTACCGAGACCGGTAGAAGAAACCTTGGCCGACCTTTTCCAGTTATCACACACGGGGCAATGCCGCTCCCGAGACTCAGAGACCGGGGTCGCCGACGAAGACAAATCCGAGTCGTCGAGACACTCTGAGCAAAACACGTGCGGGCACTGCTTCTCGGACGCGTTACGCAGCCTGTTGAAGCCGAGGATGGGCATGGGCTGGTGACATCCGTTGCACGTCAACTCTGCGTTCTGCCCCAACGCCGAGACGGCGGCCTCACGCTCGTCGAGGTCGAGGCGGTAGCTCCGCCGGTGCCAGGAAAAGGGCTTCTGGAAAGTACCGTGGTTGCAGAGGATACGCATCTGGAGGTTGGCTTGAAAGAGGCCGAACTTGCTGCTCTTTTCGACCTCGCCTACCTTTTGCTTGATGGTACGCATGAGGATCTTCTTGGTCTTGTCGTACTGGTCGCGCTCCTCGCGGCTGAACTCGAGTGGGACCACCCGTTCTTCGAGGGGAGGGAGGTCGAGGACTTCTTTGGTGCGACGGAGGCACAGGGATTCCATGAGGGCTACAAGGCGCTCTTTGACCTTTTCTAGGTTTTCCGAGTGTTGCTCAAAGGGAACCTCGATGTAGCGGCGGAAGGTGGCTGGATTGTCAAAGGGCGTTGCGCGGATGAAGGCGAAGAGGGCACCAATGTCGGCGAGTTTGTTCTGGATGGGCGTGCCTGTGAGGCACCAGCGGGAATTTGCATGGAGCGATCGGCAGGCTTGGTAAAATGTTGTTGCTGGGCGGCGGATGATGTGTGCTGTATCGTGGTCGGTCAGCTCGTCGTCACCCACGAGAATAGAGGTTGGAGGGAGTATAAATTCGACTTGACATGGAGGCAGCAGGAAAAGTAAGAGGTTGAGAAAAGCTTGCCTTCGTCCAAGACAACTCGGTACCAGCCAATCCTGTGCAAGATGGACGACTTCTTCTCGAACTCTGCAGACAAGGTGTTGTAAGTCGTCACGACGATGTCGGAGCCTTTGATCTTGTCGATGTCCTTTTCTCGATTTGGGCCATGGTACTTGACGTGTGTCAAGCTTCCGTCTACGTGCCTGTCGGATTGTTAGACATGAGAAAGTAAAATACTGGTCGCGGCAATCGTTACTCACTTTTTAATTTCATTTGTCCAGTTGTAGATGAGAACTGGTGGTTGTGAGTTCTCTGGTTAGTGAAGGGGGGAGTCGAGTGGTTGCTTGAAGACTTACGAGCAGACGATACGACCACGAGGGTCGACCCTGAATAATGTAGATCCTTGCTCTTCTCGCTGTTCTTCTCTTCCTCGACGGCCCAGTTACGGGCGTCGTCGAGGGTCTTGACGATGAGCGAGAGAATGGACAAGGATTTGCCCATGCCCATCTCGTCGGCGAGGATACCGCCGCCCCTCTCATCCGGCTGAATCTTTTGCTTCACGTTCGTGATCTTATGGCGATACCTAGGTGTTCAGGATTAGAGCGATGTCTATCAGTACACGAATCTGAAGAACCCTACCATTCTTGTCCTTCTACCGTCACCAGACGCCAGAGCCTGTATCCTCGGTTAATGTCACCGGATTCCCGCTCTAGCATGAACGCGAGCGCCTCCTGTTGGTGCCTGCGGACTACTTAGCATAACACACTCGCAAAGCCAAGGGATGGTGGTCAGTTATAGAGAAAAGGCAGATGTTACCCTAGCAGACCATTCTTTAACCGCTTGTCTCCGAGCTCACGGTTAAACTCTCGCTTGTTTTTTATTGAGTCGTACACCTCAATCATCATTCGCCTCAGCTTCTCTTCCCGCGGTTGCCGCCCAGTTGGTTGCCGACTGTTGACGTCGTTGATAACGTTCTCGGGCATCGTCCCGCCACCTTTAATATCGAGGACATGCGGGTTCTCATAGCAGAGCTCCCGGCGCGCATGATCTGACTTTTGCAACCAGAGCTTCCCCTCGGTAAGCTTGTCTCCGACGGCTTTTGCCGCGGCGCGCGAGCCGTAGACATTGATATCGACTTTGACCATGGCCTCGACGGGCTTCTTGGCGCGGCCGATGGTTTCGCGGAGCGCGTTGGTCGGGGCGATGGGCTCGAATTCGACGCGAGAGTCTGGAGTCAGTAGTCGGGCGAGGGCCTTGCCGGGCCCAGAGCGGAGGTAGCCGAATTCTGTGTTGTCGTCTTTGAAAGAGAGGCGGATGTGTTCTTGTGAATCGGTGAGGGTGAAGCGCTGATAGGCTATCCTGCCAGGGGCAGAGGCTCGGCTGGACTCTCGCAACTTGGTGTCGATGACGCCCATGTCACCTATCAATTTGATGTCTACATTGTAGAGCTATGACCGATGAGTCGGGGCTGTTCTTTACATCATTTCGACAAAAAAGAGATAGGAGAAAGGTAATATGTCCAGATGACTAAGAGACTTGATGGAATGAATATGTGTCTTACCATACCGTAGCAGACCTTGTCAGCATCGTCATCGCCCGCCGTCGACGAACACGAGTCCGAACCCGTGATGCTGGAATCGGGGAAGAGTGAGGGCGAGTGAGTCACGGGCAAAGAATCCTGTGACGATTCGGAGCTCTGGGGTGAGCTGTACGTTCCCAACGCGGGAGCCTGTGCAACAGTACAACGTCCCCATGTTTCCAGGACGCCGAAGTCGAAGGACGCAAGCTCGGTTTCGTTGCTGATGTTGAGGCTTCCTATTTGACTATCAACGCCTTGGTCGAGAAGAAGGTCATATATCTGCGCGTCTTCTATGGGAGGGTGATCCTCGATGACGGAAAAATCATCTTGGCCGCCCTGGATGGTGCTGTCCGAGCTTTGGAAGGGGGTATGGTATGGGTGATATCCGGGGTATGAGTAATCTTGGCCGCCGCCCTGGTAGGTTGGCGTGATGGAGCCGTACGAGGAGACGGACGACGGGTCGGGATAGTGGAGATCCTCATCTTCCTCGTTGAGAAGTCTCTTTAGCGACATGGCGGCTAGGGGGGTTGTCAGACACTCAAGGTAGTTGACTAAGTTAGTCTGTTGATGAGTGATTGAGACTAAAAGTCCTTCTCGGAGTTGATTCCGAAGTTAGAAGTTAGTGTCTTCAAAGCTAGTCAAAGCTTCGAATAACTTCAGTCGAATGAGCGGAAAGTTGTCGAGTCTATCTCGCAAATGGGTCAACCAATGTTTTTCCCACTGTCAAGTGCTTCTTCTCATGCAGCCAGTGCCTTGAGGAACATGATGAGGCTCTCTGCGGCAACGCAAAAGGCGCCGGGCGAACCATTTTTGACCACATGATGACCGGTGACGTGAGGCAATCGAAGAGGCTACCGTTTGCTGTGCAGTCTCCCTCCTTGAGGCGCAGTGCGCGGACGATGATGAAGGCGATCGTGCTTCCCGTTGGTGGTTCGCACTTCGCCGAAGGCTCGTAGCTGCGCTCCGGACGCGCACAACCCACACCGCGTGCTTTTTCCACTTTCTTAGTGCCGTTGGGGTCCTTGTGAGGGTCCCCCTGAGCGATTTGGGGGGCCCTAATTGTTCTGACTGCCCTTAGGGTCATTCTCGCACCCGCTTTGCACCGCCCCCGAAGACCCCCGGCACCCCGGTTCACCGACGGTTGCTCCGCCCCAACCGCTCGGAGTCCCCCGACCGGGGCATTTTCAAGAGCCTCACTAGCCCGGAATGAGGTCAAATGATGGGGAAATGCCCACCTGCCGATGCTTGTTCTCGAGAATAGATACCGGAGAAGGCTCCGGTAAGGTTGAGGATGACGTAGATTGACGATGTTCGCGGGACTCCCACGTCGCGAATCGAGTCTTGTGACGCGGGATTTCTCAACTGACGACGTGGACCACTTAGCAACGCACAGCGGAGATATACTGTAAAGACAGAGGAAAGGTAACTCATAGCCGGCTAAGTCGGCTCCAACGGTAAGTCACTGCATATGAACCAACCAAAGCAAGTCACCAGAGTTGACAATGCTCAACAGCCCTACGAAACAAAAGGGACACTGCAGCAACCAACAGGGCGAGAGGGCAACTCTGCCCCTCACAAGGCGTCCGCGGGGCACGACAATCTTGAACTAAGGTAAGGCGCGAAAGTACGTGTTGAAAGACACGCGGGAACTCGTGCTGGTAGGTCGGTCGTCAGGGTTTAGATGCAGTGCACCAATGCAGGTCGAGTGGCTTGTGGGCAGCACAGAGACAGAGACACATGCAGACAGCCTGACAGCGCGCTGGAGACCCTCGCTCTCTCTAAGAATCCGCAGTGACGCACACAGCAACATACAATAGAACTGCAAAAGAAGAATGTGGCAGTGGCAGTGCTCACTGTCTAGCGCCTCACACATCCCTGGTGCCCCTGTTATGTTTGCTGAGCGGGCCTGAAGACCACAAGAAACTATTGGATCCCCCTGCGAAAGACGTTGGCCCTAGGCAGGGGTTGCTCGGACGGGGTAGTATTTTTGATATACGCCTGGCTGCCTCTTTTGCTGTGAACAGCATCAGCCTCAATTCGTATCGACCGCTTTCTCGGTGCAAGCTGTGGACTCTGAGCATCAACCCCATTCTCATTCTTCCTTTCTCCAAAGACTTTCTTTCCTTCTTGTTCAGCTCTCTCCACTTGCTTCTCTTTCTGACTCCATTTCCCGTGAGTTTGTTCATGTTCCGTTGTGGTTTATGTCGCTACACGGTCCACAACGAACTGGGTTTAGTACACGTACCTAGCTGGTGGGAGCCCGAGCCCCCGTAGCGACTGTGAGCAATTCGACACTTGTCCCGGAGCCAGCGCCGAGTTCGCCAAGTCTACGACCATGGCCCAAGATCGCGGTCCCTACCGGGTTCCAGACCTCGATGTCGACGTCGAAGTTGATCTCAGGATGAGCGCCGATAAGTTCAAGGAACTGTTAAATGATATTCATGTCGACAAGATCGGAAAGACGACTCTTGAAGATGTTTACCGATGTCTCAGGGATATCCAATTCCAACAACAGGAGAAGAAGACCTTGATGAACCTCAACAGGATTGAGTTGTTCCTCATTGGCATGGACTCATTCCGAGAAGTCCTAGACGATAGGCGCATGAAAGGTGTTGACGGTATCATGGCCCTCGTTTGGGGTCCTATGAGGTTTCTACTTGAGGTACGGGCGCGCATCCAGTAACAACCCTGAACACCTCAGAACACCCCTGGCTGACATATCTTCCCCTTACTTAGACCACCAACGTCAACGATCGAGCGTTTGATCACATCCTCGAAGTTTACCAACGACTTGGGATACATATTCTCTCTCTTTCAGAGTATAAGCAATTCTTTGCAGGATCTGCCAACGCTACGGCCTGCCTGCTTAACATTTATAACGACGTCGCCGAATTTCACAAAACCGCATACAGGCTGTTCTCTCTCCGCAGCTCGTGTAAGCCGAATCATTCTCCCTGGTAACCCATTTGCAGCTTTAATGTGCGTGATACTGACCCTGATCATACGCACTCGTAGTATGGGGTAAATTACATAAAGCGACATGGAAAGACTTGGAGTCGACGTTCAAACACTTAGCCACAAGCCTCCGGTTGCACGCAGAATTTATTCAGACTCACGGGGCTCCCCTCCAGGACCGGCATGCCTTCCGTAGCGTAGACTCCGGCTTCGCGGCACCCCAAAACAGCATCTTGCTCGACAACAACGACTTCCGCCGCAAATCCAAAAAGTACATGTCAGATTACGACGAACTGCGACGAACTTTCAGAGAGGACGAAGCGAAAAGGAAAGAGAAGCAGAAGAATAAGGTTCTGAAATGGATCGCCGCTCCCATGACGACGCAGGATCTACACGAGAGCTTCGTCAAGAAGAGAGAACCATATCCAGAAACCGGACGCTGGCTTTACACAAGGTATGACCAGGTGTCGAATTGGATGCGCGAGGACATACCCCAAGACTCCGCTCTTTGGGTCCATGGTAGGAAAGGCTTGGGCAAGTCTATTTTGTCGTCACTGGTAGTTACCCGCTTGCAGGAACTCATCAGGACCCAATCCATTCCGAAGGGACAAATTTGCTACTTCTACTGCCAGGACGCCGACCCCGAGCTGAATACGTACTTTGGCATACTCAGGGGCATCGCCCATCAACTTGTCTCCGCAGTCGACGTGTCCAACCCCGACTTCGATGAGTCAAGGGAAGACGAGTGTGACATTTCGGCTTATCGTAGCAAGTACAATGGATCAATTCTCCCTCTTTGCGACGACAAAATCACGAGCAGTGGTGGCTCAACTCTATCCACCCCGGAGGGATGTCTTTCACTCATCGAGGCGTTTTTCGAAGTTAACCCCCGTTTGTACATCGTCGTAGATGGCGTGGACGAGTGCGCAAGCCGCGTGGAGATCCAGCAGACAGTTTCCTTCTTGGTAGCTCAAGTTTCGCGCCTGGATGAGATCAACCAAGGGCAGTTGCGGGTGCTATTCATGAGTCAACCGAATCCCGACGTCAAAGCAGCGATGTCCAAGCCTACTGTTAGTCCGATTATCGGCGAGGTTGAACTAAAGGACACCGATAATACACAAGACATACGGACCTTTGTGAAGAGCCGGATGGATCCAGCGGAATTGAACAAGCCACGAAGACACGTGAGGGGAAGGGACAAACCTACCGAAGCTTCAATAGTAGAAGTTTCTGGGGACAACTTCAATCTCGAAGAGAGAGACATAAACCGTATCGCAGAAGAAGTTTCGTTACAGAGCGAAGGTATCTATTTCACAGAAAAGCGACTTGTGGGCTTACGCTAACAAAACTACAAGGTCTTTTCCTCTACGCAGTCCTCGCTGTGGAATACCTCTTGAACCAATGGAGTAAAGGAGAACTCCTTCAAAAGGTTTCACCTCGCATGCTTCCTGACGGCATCTCAAGGATGTACGACAAGGTACTGGAGAGCCTCAAAGAGAAGATGCTGAACATGTCTTCGACTCATTGGGATAAGACTAAGCTCCTTCTCGGCTGGCTTTCCTGCGCCCATCGCCCGCTCAAGTGGCACGAGATACAAGCCATCCTCGCTTACGACCTTGAGAAGGATGAGATCGACTTTAACCTTCGCATGATTCGAAGAGATAATATTAACAAACTTCTTGGCTCGCTGGTCGAAGTTCTGCCGGGCGATGAGATTCGTCTCATGCATTCAACCGTCAAGCAGTGAGTAGACTCCAGTTCATTGCTTGAGTTACCCAAGTCTGTCGGTCCTAGGAGGAATCGAGTGACTAATACGAATTTGAAAGACATCTTGTTTCTAGCAGACATATCCACGCGAAATCAGTTCAGTGCGATCTTGCTATTCTGTGTTTGCGCTATCTATCTCTGCGCTGCTTTGCAGCCGACGACTACAGCGAAGCTGAGCGGCACAACGATATTCATAAGGGTTACTTTTCATTCCAAGACTATGCCGTTCCTCAATGGTACAAGCACATCAATACCGTCATCAGAGAATGCCATGAAATTTTCTCCCCCACCTTCTACCCGGACGCAGGAGTTGAACCGGGTCGCGATTTCGTTAGAGACCTTGGTTCGGCCTTGAACAGATTCATCTCGGCCTATGATGCTAATATCAAGAAGGAGATGCACCAAGAGTTCTCACAAGATGACTTGTCACAATACATCAGCTTTCCATTCTACGCTGATCTCGTTCGCGTATGGAATCACATCTTTACCCACCAGAAAGCTTCCGTCGACGAACGCAACGAAGTCGGCATTAGCCGCTTACAGGACGCTCTCACTTCGCACCGCGAGGTCCTGGCAAGTGAGTATCAGCCAGACACGGTCATGGTCGGGAGCGACACCATTGACACCTATTACGGGCCCAACTTATTCAAATGCAAAAAAACACTGTGTAAGTTTTTCTATGAAGGCTTCAAGACCGAAAAAGATCGCGATGCACACCACAATCGCCACGATAGACCGTATCCGTGCCCCATTAAGACATGCAACTCGGCGCCCGTTGGGTTTTCATCCAACAAGGACAAAGAAAGGCACGTCAGGACGTACCACCCAGAAGAGATTGACGGGCAAACACCCTTCATACAGATGAGCAGGAGGGTTGAAACGGCCAAGTTTCCGTGTAAGATGTGCGGGAAGTGTTTTACGCGGAATATCAACTTGAAAGGGCACATGCGGAGTCACTTTGGTGAGAGGCCTTATGCCTGCCCGAATTGCGGAAAGGCATTCGCTAGGCTAAACGATTGTCGCCGCCATGAGCGTATTCATACCAGGAGGGGGACATAGCCAGATGACTGTGGCCTCAATATTTCGGCGTCGGCGTTGGTTGTTTACGGAACCTTAGAGAAGGCTGTATGACTGGATGGACATTTCCATAGGCCTTCGGCGTTTTTTGATCTTGATCACATATTTAATATAACACACTTGACCAATCGCCCACAGCGTTGGTTCTAGTGGATAGAAGCCAGCCGTAGCAGTGCTTTCTGCACAGGCTCTGTATAATGTGCAGACGCATGTAATTGCCTTTGCCAACTGACAAGTTGTTGGGCATTTTCTTGGTACTTCACTCGTGCATTCATGCGCGGTACTTATTCGAAGGGTGATAAGTAAGGTAGTATGCCTAACGAGGCGATGAGCCACCCAGTTGCCAAAACTAAAAGCCTGCATATTCCGCCTCGTTGCCTTCATGCAGGCTCAGCCATGTGTGTGGCAGGCCGCCCATGGTCGCCTAGCTTCTTTTTCGCGGGCCACATTTTCCCGTACCGTGCTGATGCCGTATTCATCCACGCATTTACACAATTTCACCCTTATATAGTATTGTCCTGGCATGCGGAACAATCGCCAGCTGTCATGGATCTTTCATTAGGGCAACATGTCAGCATCTCTCCCGCACAGGCCAGTGCAAACTCGAGGCCGGTCCGAAACTGACCTGGGAGACCCGCACTCGAGCTCAAAGAGAACTCGGAGGCGGAACATTATGGGAGTGTACTGCTCTAGTTGTCTGCTACTATTCTCTAAAGATGGCCTGAAGGCGCTCAACTCAACTGCTGGCCTGCGGCACTCGACGTTTGTGCGGTGCTGCTCTCAAGCCATCGGTGGCTGTCCGCTGTGTCACTTCATCTTGGCTACGGTTAAGAGGGACCAGGAGAACGACTGGCCAGACGATGAGATCCTTATCTTTCACAATCGCTCTTCGATGAAAGACTCCAAAGTCTTACCCCCTTGGATAGACATATTGGACGGTGGGCTTTCTTCCGGGAAAGTCATCATTACTATTTATCCATACGCCAAGGACGGTACGTGGCTAGAGGAACTATATTACCTATGACGAACATTGCGTATGGTAACATCTGACGGGATGTCTAGGAGATCCCACTGCCAGTTTTATTTACCGGAGACCACTTCGAAGAGACGTCAAAAGCCGAAAGGTTTTTTCAGCTGCAGCGCGACTTTACAACAAGTGCAGACAAGGTCATCATCGATGTCGCTACGGCCGAGACGCTCTCTTACCGACCAGGGTGATTGACGTTGGTACAGTCGAGTCACCCACATTGAAGCTATTCGTCAATGATGTCGAACAGGAAGGCATGTATGTCGCCCTGAGTTACTGCTGGGGCGGCGAACAGCCCGGAAACCTCGTAGGAACCACCCTAGAGCGCATGACTGAAGAGATACGAATGGAAGACTTAGAGCAGACAGTCAGAGACGCAGTAGTGGTCACTCGAAAGCTAGAATTCAGGTATCTTTGGGTCGATGCGTACTGTATTATTCAGGATTGTGCCCAAGATAAGGCGAAGGAGATTGGCGACATGGCCTTGATCTACAAGAATGCGGCTGTCATGATTGCAGCCGGGACTGCAGCCCGAGCTCGAGATGGGTTTCTTGCCACAAGCAGGACGTACTTACCCGAAGAAGAGTTTCGTATTCCCATGTCGAGCGGCGGACTAGGAACTGTTTACCTTCGAACTGGTACGCATATACCTAGGCATGCTATTGACACGCGTGGGTGGGTTCTTCAAGAGTTCATGTTGTCGTCTCGAATGCTCTTTTTCTCGGAATATGAGCTCTTATGGCAGTGTCAAGAAACCGAGTTACGGGGGGTCACGGGCGAAGGCTTAGAGTACTTGCAGCCGCTGGAAAGTCTGCCCTGGTTGGCGTTTAATGATGAGGCTGGATCGAACTTTGGGGGCCAAGAAGAGGAGAAGAGGTACATCTGGATGACAGTAGTCGAACAGTACTCGCGTCGATTGTTGAGTGACCCTGGTGACAGGCTGGATGCCTTAAGGGGTATTACCCTGGAACTTCAGAGTCTGTGGCGGGATACCAATACCTTTGGGTTGTGGAAAAAATGGTTTGTCGAGCAGCTGACCTGGTCGAAGAAAGATTGTGAAGAAGACGCCGATGCGGAAGACGTGAGGTCAGCCCGGGCACCTAGCTGGTCTTGGGCTTCTCTCAACGGGCGGATCCGTTACACTGGCTTATTCACGACGGAATATGCCAAGGTCCAGAGCATGACTCTCTTGGAGGAACGTACCTCACCGCATAACGTGGTCTTGTCGTGTCCCATCCTCACACTTGACGATATGGAGCAGTCAAGGCTTGATGAGGACAAAGAGTGGATAACAGAATATCCTGATTTAGCTGATGTCTCGCTTGAGATCGGGGATAGAGAGACTGAGTACCTCATACTTGGGAAGACGATGCTCGGAGACCTTGAGCTGCTCATCGCGCTCATGGTGGTTGAAGATGATGCATGCGGTGAAGTATACCGTCGAGTTGGGCTGGCAACATTTATTGATATGGGAGTTTTGAATAGTGCAAAGGACAAGGTCGTAACGCTGAAATAGGAATTCCACTGGCAAGGCGTTGATTCATTTCACTCCACACCACGCTTCACGACTGGCTGTTAGTCCGAAAAGCCATCTTATCTGGCATATCGCATTAAGGTCTGTCTCAAACCTTGACTTTTAGCAATGCTCGCTGCTTATCCATTGCGCCGAGTGAAGAAAAGTCCTCCCCAATAATGCTTGAATCGATAGTTTGACAGTTCCGCTGTTCCAAACGCCATTAAATCACGCAATGCCCGCTCATGCTCATAAAAGGGGTTTCCGCATGTACATATGTACATAACAATAACTCATTCGACTATCCACTTTTCACATCATAATGACCGCTAAGCCGATACCCAAGACAATTGCGAGAGTACTTGGTGCTGATGTCGAAGTTGACGAGATCGTATCAGACGCCGGAACGCCAGACATCTCGGGAGCAGGACTTGTGGGCAGGGTCGATCCGGTACCCGAGTCAGATCCTGAGCCGGAACCCGTCCCCGTTCCTGGTGAGGTGGTGGTGCCGTTGGTCGCTGGTGGTGCGGGAGCAGCGATAGATCCGGCAGGGGCAGGGCATAATCCTCGGATAGCCGCAATGTCTTCTGGCCGGCTGATGGGCATCGTCCTCGTACCACAGTTGACGTACTGCGCCAAGTAAGCGGCGTTAGTGTCTAGATCGAAGACGGCTGTTGATGGTAGTCAGTTACGGCAGCTCGTTATTGAAGATAGTGTAGGTTCGGCTTACCATAAGCTGAGCGTAAGAAAGTATCGCCCAGCAACGTGAAGTCCGCGTTGGGGACAATACCCAGGTAGCACGTTGGCGGAGTGGTGCGCAGCTCACGAATCATCTCCTTGTAAGGAACCTTGATCTTCATCCCATCAAAGTCGAAGTCGACAGTGCCGTTAAGATCGACAAGAGTACACGAGACGGGATAGAATCCGTTGGCGTCCAGACCAGGTGAGCCAAAGTCGGTAGCAACCTGCACGGCAAGCTCTTCGGGCAGCAGTGTGAGAGTAGCGCCACTATCTAAGAAGACCGGCATCGAGCTGTTTTGGTACATGCGAACGCGGCGACTCGGTGGAGTGAGACTCAGTGAGTTCATGTTTACCCAGTACCGGGCAACGCCGTCAGGGGCCTGGTCTGCCGGGAGAATCGGGAGGCGTGCCAGTGGCCCGGAGAATTTCGAGGTGTCGATGCCGCCAAAGACGATTGCCCCTTCCTGTTCGTCCTTGGAGCCCAGTCCGAGGCTAAAAGCTTTAGTGCGGGTGACTCCTTGGGTAGCGAGCTCGTCGACAAGGTTCTTATAACGGGTGTTGACGCCATTTCCGTAGCCAATACCCAGAATTCCTGCAAACTGATCTTCGGAGCTGGTGGCGACGCCAAATTGGACCTGCTGCATCGTCGTTCGGGAGCCGGCGAGGGCGAGACTGTCGCGGACGTAGGTGATGTTTGCGGCGCCGATGCCGTAGCGGAGAGTTTTGGTAGTCTGTAGAGAGACAGCGGTTGAAGATCGAGCCGTGTCATAAAAGCCGACGGCTTCGCAGAAACGTTGGTCAGAAGCAGCGAGGGCCCCGCACTCTGGATTCACCCATAGCTCGAATGAGCCGGTGTCTAGCTGAGCGTAGACTGGCTGAGGGGGCGTTCCAATGTTAACTATACTGGAGTTAATGTATAGTCCAAGTACTCATCGATTGAGGCAAAGAGAGGTGCTGCTCACGTTGGGCATAGTAAGCTACATCCGAACGGTTGGCAAGTTTCGCCTCGACCTGTCTGCTAAATACACCACGCTTGGTAGAGTGAATGACGGGCAGCGTGACAAAGGCGCTGTCAACATCGACACTGTCATCAACGGGCAGGCCCCGCACTACCGGAGGCTTAACTACCGGGGCGGCAGGAAGAGCCTCCAAGTCATCGCCGAGAAGATTGTCGAGTAGAACCTTTCGAGGCGCTCGTATCCGCCTCTTCCTTTTTGACTTTGAAGTCACCGGTAGCGTCATCATCATACTGACTTCATCGCCCTCATCTGCGGGAAGGGAGAGCCCGCGCGGGACAACTTCGACATCGCGCTGTTGTTGTGTGGCGGTATATGGGATCACGGGGAGTGTCATGAGCGTTCTGAAATCGCCATCGTCGGTTGGTAACTGAGGCCATGCATGTGTTCTAGTGACTAGTGAAAGAGCCAAAAGAGCGGATGAGAGGAGCGCCATTTCTGGCGTTGGCGAGGGTGATGCGTGCTATCGCGGTCGTCGCCACATGAGAACTATCTAGGCGGAATGGCGCTTGATCGAGTTGATGAAGGGTGGTGGACGTCTCGTGAGTGGATTTGGAAGCCGGTCTCGGGTGTCTTTCGGTGGGAGCTAATCGGTTATTGGTTAAAGAGCGTACAAACCAGGAACCAACTGGCTGGAAAAGACAATGATGAGAAGAAACGAAAAAAAAGTCGAAAAGTAAAGCTGATCCAGCAAGCTGTGGATGGTTGAAAGGTATTGAAGATCCCACCGGGAGGTCGTGAAGGAAAGGTTGCCTTTCAAACGGCGGACGCAACGCAATGCAAAACACGCCTTGGCTACCAAGAGCTTCCAAGAGGTGGGAAGAGTAGAATTGAAGCAAACTCCACCGTCGAGGCAGACAACGGTTGAGAACGAAGGGAAAGAATTAGCGTAAAGGAAAGAAGAGGCAACGAAAGAAGATAATTGATGTGACAAGAATAGAGATTGGAAACGAGAATGGGAATAGATCGGCCAAAACCAAGAGCGAGAGAGAAGACGAACTAGCCGATGGCCTGTCCCAGCTGTCACCGCGCCAAGGGAGGGGGACCAGCCAACGACGATGAGGAACCACGGTGTCTCGAAAGTAGCATGGTTCGCACGTTTTCTTCCCTAAAAGAACCCCATTTTGACATCCCTTGTCAGTGCAGTGTCTTGGGAAGACCCTGTCGAGCATCCTCCCGCCTGGTGCGGCTGCTGAGCCAAAATCCAAATTTGGCACACGGGACACACAACTCACGCGGTATTGGCATTCCTACGGATACTTTTCGCTCTCGGGGGTGGGTGCTGGCTTGCAGAGACACACAATTGTCCAGCGGATGGACGAACGACATCCTTCCTCTGCAATACGCAGTATGCTCAAAGAGGTTCCTGCTTTTTCCCACTCGTCTCACCCTAGCGGAGGGATGCCAGACTTGTTAGTTCGCGAGACTTGGCAATCCGGCCTTGGCACCTTCGAACGTCCAAGACGGGCCTGTGAGTGGTCGCGACGGACACCTCAAACAATGACTCCAGGGCCTGGCGTCACAGAGTTGACTAGGGGCCGCAGGCGAGCTAGCGGTGGGACATCGTAGATCAGACAAACCCCTGAGACGAATGTGGACGCGATTTGGTGTGAGAGCCACGGCCACTATGCCTGAACAGGTTACCTCAGATCTCTTCAAGAGCCCTCACCGAGCTGTCGACGGGTCAAAAAGGACCTCCAGGAGTTCAGAGGGTCGAGTATCTGCGACCAGAGGGTACGGGAGAGATCACAGCCGATATGATCCGGACCAATTGCGCCACAGGTTATAACCCGAAAGCGACAATATCGATGATCCAAGGATCGCAACAGTGCTTACTCGATAGGCTTAACTTGCCGCTGGCCAATCCTGGGTTACATTCTGAGAGATCCCCCGGACTCTTGGAGCCTGGCCTGAAGCAAGGAGAGCATTGAAATCGCTCAGGTGTCATGGAGAATCAGACCACACACATGCACTTCTCAGCCCATCACCAGAGAAGCCAAACACTTAGCGAAAAGTTGAAGAAGTAGTTGAAGAATCCATCGATGTAGGTTTTCAAAGTCTGCTGAAGAACGCTAAAGCAAGACACTCCAGTCAGCGCCCACCTGAGATGAACCGAGTAAGGTTAGACTTCTTCTGTGCAGTGCCTGACGGACTAGACCCTATGACTATTTATGGCCTCCACGCCCGTGCTTTGCGTTGTCCATGCCGAGCGGCGTCCCCCGGATTCCGGCAAGGACTCGTACACTTTCAACGGACGCAAGTTTTACTCGCAGTGAAGTTCAAATTAATCGCTGGTTTTTATTGGCGGGAATACATGAGAGATCTGAAGATTGGTCTTCATCGTATTGTCTCGTCGATCAAGTCATCAACTCGATGCTCGAAAGAAAGCTAACTACAGCTTTGTACGTTTGGAGTTGTGTTCAGGGCCATACTGCTTCCAGAATGCCTATGGCCTACGCCTTAATCGTCACCATCCCCCACCATCTCCATTCTCGCAGAAAGCTCAATCCAGTCCTCCAATCTTTCTTGCAGAAACCACTTCAAGTCCCAAGACTGGTTAGTAACCAGAAATTTATCACCATTTCGTAGGTATATATCCGCTTCGATGGAGCTCTCGACCGTTTTGCCACGGTGACTCAACATCATGACTTGAATTGGATTGACTTGGGAAACTTCGCCTTCAAAGTCGCCAGGCTTCTTCCGCTGTGAGAGCGTTGGAGGCTGTAGGAGATACCCATTGATGGATGAGCCACGTTCTTCAATAGCGCCTGGATAATCACAGCCGTGTAATGAGTAACGTGCGACGTTTTCCACTTTCGCGGACCGAATGAGAGCCGATATCTCCTCGACTTGAGAAGCATCACCAGTCAGAACCCAGGCGAGTAGCGGCTGGGCGCATAAAGTACCATAGATGAAGACAAGTCTTGGGGCTGTTGTCATGACCAAGGGGAGTCGTATTGCAGTTGCCGACCAAGCGGTCGCAGTGGTGTCAAAGGTGTATATTTGAGTTTTCAAGACACGCGGGGCAGGTGTGATGCGATACATCCGAAGTCTACTGGGAACAACGCCCAGGATGGATGGCAAGTTTTGCCGTGGAATCTCTAATGAAAGCTATGCGAAAAGTTGAATGCAGTGGGAGATTTTATTTCTTGTGTTCTAGAAAGAAGTGCTGGCTGTTGGATGGCCTTTGCTTTATCTGGCGTCAAGCTGTTTCCCCAAGTCCTGAGGACCTTGATGCCAAGAAAAGCTCCATCCGGGTTCAGCTAACGACTGAAATAACTCAAGTGGATGACACATTAAGTCAACAATACATCAAGAGTCCCCTCGCGCTTTTTCAACAACACTTCGATATTACAGTAAGAATATTCTGAGGCAAACGCTGGACCCGAGGAATACCAAAGACAGGGGTCATGGTGACGACAAGAACTATTGGGAGGCGTCGAACCGCTAACTATTTTGCCGTTCGCTTGATATCATTTGGTGTTTTATGCCAGTATCCCTTACTTTTCTGGCCGACTTAGCTGTGTTTATCATCAGCCCAGATTCTGTATTACGCTCTCAGAAGACAATAGCTGTGTGAAGAAGGCATCTTTCGAGATTGGTCGGGAAATAGGTGTCACGGAATAATTGGTATCAGTGCCTCCAACTCAGGTAGAGCAACAGTTACGATGAAACAGAGGGCTACCGTTCTACTGCTCGAGTTGAGACACCATGACCACACTTTGATACCAATTGGCATTGAATTCATCTTTCCATGAGACAGTGACACTTGGAACGGAGAAGGACGTGCAACAACAGAGTGTGAATAGACCCCATGCACAACGGCTGTTCTTGACTTTCCCGGCTGTCCATGCACATTCGATCCAAAGCGCACCCGCCTTGCGCCGATCATTGCCAGGTACCCTGTCGTATTATTCAGTCCAGAAGACGGAGAATCTTGACCCGAACGCCTCTCGAATCATCTCGAGGCTCTCCCAAAAAGCAGTCACGATAGTGGTCAATGTCTCTTTCTCTGATGACATCGTATAATTCCAGATCAAATCGACGCAGAACTTTTGCAAGTGCAACATACATCTCTGCCCAAGCAAGGCTCGGTGACGCATGACAGTCAGTACATTCTGCTTGAATCTGGTGTTGCAGGGAGGAGTTGATGTACTTGAGTCCAATGCAATTGCGGTGTCCGCGCCCAAAAGGGAAGAAGCATTTCGTGCTCTGGGCGTAAAGAGGGTGAGACTCGAGCCATCGCTCGGGATCAAACCGTTTAGGGTTTGGAAAGACCTTGGGGTCCATCATCAGATCGGCGAATGTCATGCCAACTGGCGTCTTCCGGTCCAAGCAGGTCAGCAAATATTCGACCAACCCTGGTGGGGAGACTTATATCAAATCACTTGAACTTTTGATGATTGATCTTACGTTTATTGGGATGATCCAATCTCGGTATGTGAGACATTCGGTAGGTGCTTGCAGCACTACTCTCATAGTAATAAGCGCAGAGATCCGAAGTGACTCTTTGATGACAGCGGTCTTATCAGCACGTCCATATTAGCGAATTAACCTTGAATCAAAGATAAACTACTCGCATAAGATTGATGCACTCACAGTCCACGGCAAGCTTTCGAGCTTACTCAGCGGCACGTCTATATTGGAGTTTGGCATCACGGACTTCAGCTCTTCCTTCAACTTGACAAGGTGGTTTGGATTTGAGAGTAAGTGATATACAGCAGTGGTGAGAGTTCTGCCAATCGTATCTCCTGACGCTGTCAAGACAGTGAAGCCTTCTTGGGCCATTCGCTTGAAACTTTTCTCGCCCTGAGGCAAATTCGAAGTAAGAATCGCTTGCATCAGGCTGCCGTTGTCTTCTCTAAGGCTGTCGGGGGCTGACGAGTCTTTAATGGCCTCTTTGGCCTGTTCTTCCATGTCCTATCAGAGTATTAGACTTGGTCAAATGATTTACTGACTGCACAAGTTATCGACTTGCCAGCAAAACCTGTGCTACTAAGGCTAAATCTGACGATACTCGTCGGATGAGCCACATTGGGAGCTCAAAGGCGAATGATAGAAACCACGGGAACTGTCTGACAATAGGGGTGAGGTGAAGTAGACCAATGATACTTTCTCTCCACTTCTGAGCCTTTGCTTGATCTTTCAATAAATGCATGTCACCTGTCTCGCCAAGCGCATGGGCGCAGTAGAAGTCGGTAGTATAAGCCAGCAGCGGGACGCGAATGTTGAAAGGGCTACCCTCTTTGGCGTAAGTCTTGAAAACTGCGCAGAGTTGTTCAACCTTCTCATGGATGAGTCTTTCGTGGACGACCACAGCTTGCTTGGAGAAGAAGCCAGAGATGGCAGACCGGCGCATTCGATGAGCATCGTGGTTCAAGGTCCCAAAGATGCCACCAGTGGCGCCCTGAACACTAGCACTCGGCGGATACTTGTCACGGCGAGCGCTCCCTCCAGCAAACAGGACGTCAAAAAACTGGTGGTCACTGACGTGAAGTTCGTGAGGGTTTATACGTACGATAGGACCATAGTCGTCATGCATCTGTTGAATTCTGTAGGCGAAAGTCTTGCCAGGTACACCAAAGAGTTCGTGGTACGTTTCATACCAGCCCGTGAATGCTGTCAATTTGGGGCCAGGAAACTTTGCGAGGGGATGGAACGTGATGTTGTAAGTCCCTAGGTAGATGAAATAGAGAAAATAGAGTCCTAGGAATATCGTAACAAGGTTCCCCAAGACGAGTCTTATAATACTATCGTTCATCAAGATAGCCATGGTCGATAAGTTTGTTTGAATCCATGTAGAAGAATGGCAAAGTCAATGCTGGGCTGGGGAAGGGGACGAACTTTAAAGCATTTCAGTCTTGCCACTAATGGAATTCGAATTTCCCCACGTTTTCCCTTCTAAGAGTGAAGCGAAAGAAGCCGAAGTCACATGGATGAGACCAGAGTCGACGTGGCTGCGACCGACCTGGCCGTCGCGAGCGTCGGGCTATTTGAGCACTACGTTTATCTCTCATGACGTCCTGGCATGATTCTAGATAAACCCAATCGAACTAAGACGACCGCAGCACTTGGCGACTTCACCGGTGGTCAGCTGCTTCTATCTCAGCATGCTTTGCTGCATATCTCATGCAGACCCCCCTGCACTTGAGTGATCAAGTCAACTTCAGTACACTGCGACACATCTAACAAATATTGAACTATCTCGGATGAGCAACATTATTTCTTGGGGATTATGGACTTCGAGGTGCTGCCTTGAGATCCAGAAGATGATATGTTTCTGATTGGCACCGACATGGACTGGAAGGTGGGCAACCATGGACCCAACAAGAGGCCAACGAGGGTTACGATGTGTGTGGGCTTACCCCTCAACCGGATCAAGCACGGTGGGGGCAATGCTAGGAATGCCAATGCCGCGGTCCTCAATCTTGACCCATGACGACTTCAGCGTACTCGAGCATTTACCTATTTCGTCTATAGTACAAGGACCTGAAGGACGATACCAAGGCGAAGTTGACACCATTGTTCGGTTACGCTAGTCTAATGCAGTCTTTGCCGCTGCGCCGACGACACCATCCGCAGGAAAAGGGGCCTCCAACAAATCCGGAGCTCGGAGTTACACTGATTACGGTTTTTATGCAGTTAACATGCACAGTAAGAGTTGCATCTCAAACCAACAGCATATGAGGTTTCATCGGCTTGACATCTAGGTACTTCGAAGTTCATGCAGGGTATACATATTAGGAACTCCATAAAGTATACTGCACAGCGAATTGAATTGCTTCGTTGGGCCAGGTGGTTGCCGATAAGAGTAGCAACACATCAACACAGGAGGTCTCTCTAAACCTAATGCGTCAGAAGTGAGCAGATGAGGTTCTTTTAGTTCGGATAGAAAGAACCCTGTCTTTGTCATGGAATCGCGGAGCTTCAGAGGCAATGACCCTGAAATGTGCCGATGACACCTCTCCCGCCCCTGGATTTATTGTCAAATCAAGTTCTGTCTTCCAACTGCAAAAGGTCAAGACATCCGATAAGTGAAGTATCCCGTCAAAGAAAGGAGCGGGCGTAATCTCCACAGCGTAACCAGGCACAGATCCAATAGCGTCTTAGTCGTGGTTAGATAATTATATAAAAGGCTGGCTCATATGCGCAGCTCATCAATAATAAGGAGCCAGATCTCACATTGCGCATCTCAAACCTCACTACTGTGTATCAATAAACAAGATCATCGGTAATGGCTTGCCTCGACGTCCGTCAGACCCTTATTCAACAACTCAAGGGTCAAGATCTTCGTATTCCGGATCTAAGTATACTCTTCGAGCGATGGCCAAAGGACGTAAGCCCTTGTCTGGAAGGCCTGCGAACTCTTTCTGGCGAGCGGATTGCAAGGTACAACATTGAACAGAGCCTCGAAATCTTTAGCGGCTAACTAGGCTTTCTTCAGCTTCGCTGAGTTGCCCAAGAGCCGATATCCAATGTCAAAACTCGACGTAGGCCTATTCGTATCAACTTGGTACCCTGGAGTGAACCTGGAACGTGGAGACATTTTATGTTGTCTAGTCCTTTGGGTGCGTTCTCTTCCATCTCAAGCTGTAAGCAATCATGAACTCTGGCTAAACATTCTAGTTGTTCACATGGGATGACCGTAAGTCAATGAGGTGACTAGCATAGGGATTCCGACTGACCTCTACCAGAAATCGATGAAAAAGGGGGGTATCTGTACGACAATCTTCGAGCCGCACAAGTTTTCCGACGGGAAACCCTCGGATACGTGCAACACTGCCTCCGTCTTTCTGACAATGAGGTCTTTCATGAAGTCCCGACAAATCATATCATCGCTTTTTTCAAAGTGATTGGCAATGCGGTGTGCGAGGCTTACGACCGCGGTAAGTCTTTGGCCGAACCTCTACTGGCACCGGGTTCTCTCAGGTCAAGTCGCTGCTATCTCTGACCTCTTGTGCATCAATCAGATTACCGAGAGATTCTTTTCGATGAGATCCAGTTCTTCATAGAAACTTCCGAAACAGAACAGCAGCGTCGGCTTAGCCCTGAGCTCCCGTCCACGAGAGAATACATTGCCACCAGGATGGGAACAGGCGCAGTCAACGTCTGCTTGTTCTTCATTGAGTATGAATGTCCGAACACATCTGCTTCAGTATACTGTTACATGCACTGACCTTACTAGCTATGCCTGCGGGGTCTCTTTCCCGGTTGAAGTCCTCAGAGAAGTGGGAATGAGGACGGTATGGGACCAGGCGAACATTCTCGTATGGGCGTAGGTTGCCTCAGTACTTTTCCCAATGCGTGTATTTCAGAGCACTGACGGAGACAACCAGCGTCAATGACCTCCTCTCTCTTAAGAAAGAGATAGTAAGTCATCGTCAACGTGTTCTTTGTTCCTCCCTTTCATAGCGGCATATCTGCTGACTCTTAGCGCAAAGGCACAGCAAACAGTCGAGAGCATTGTTCCCTTGCTCTTCAGAGAAACTGAAAGTCTTAGCGTTGCAGTTTCCATGGTTACTGAAATGATCGAAAAAGCTATCGCTGAATTCAATCATGCCGCCGCGTGCCTGATGGCTAAGTTTGCCGATCATGAAACGTTAGCGTCTAACCTCAAGACCTATATTGATGGGTGTAGATACATCTGCACTGGCAACCTGACTTGGAGTCTCCAGACAGGCCGTTATGGCGTTTCGCAGCAATCAATTTCCGGGGGGTTGGCTATACGCTTATAGAGGGAAGATTGTAACGTTCACAATACCTTAGCTAGCCCTGCAGTACGAAACAGAATCGAAGCCGTCTAGCACAGCGTCACTCGAGTCTCGAGACAGCAAGCGCGCAATGAAGTACTTCAAACTAATTCAACTCTCTTGGGATCGCGCTATAAAATTACGCAATTACATATAACGTTATATTGTCATACTAAAATTGTAAGCACCGAAGCCGCGGCGCCAAAGTCCCTTAGTGCTTATAAATCAGGGAGCTTGTCGTATGAACTTCATTTGTCATGGCTAGACGTGCTTGCTATAATTGCAGTGATCTAGCTATTGTCCCGTCGACTGTGGCATGAGGTCTGTGAATAAGCACCTCTCTAATTATCTTTAACGTTGATCCTTTTCCAAGTTTTTTGGTTAGATATATTGGAGGAGAGTAAGATATAATTTCAGTGGAATATCTTGTAACGATATGTGATTTATTATTACCCCTCATGTGTAGTACGTATCTATGGACCGACTTCATGCCGCAGCCGATGGGATATAAGCTGCCCAGAATAATGGTCAAGTTAAACGCGTTGGACTTTTAGAGATGTTCGACGGAAAGCATTTATGAACGAGCTCTTACGTGTAATTTTTACCTCTTGATAGTGAAGTTACATCACCCAACCGAGGCACCCAAATCAATGACGCAAGCCATCCCCGAAGTAAACAGGCAATGGAAGGTTATCGGTGAAAATGGCTTAGATTCTCTACAGATTTCGGATGGGAAGTCTCCAGAGGTCGGTGATAGCCAGGTCCTAGTCAAAAGTTGGTCCAACATGTTATCTCTGATAGCCCCTACGTATGTGGTATAGTCACTAACCACTGCTTCTAGTACAAGGCGCCACCTTGAACGTGAGTACTCACTCTCGTTTGGTGTAGATTTCGGTTGACTGAGCTTACCGATAGTACCGAGATCTCACAATCACTGAGGGCAGATACCCTTGGGACGTCAAAGCTGACGTTGTCCCTGGGTCTGACGGCGCAGGCACAGTACTAGCTGTTGGAAAGCATGTTACCCGATTCAAACCAGGCGATAAAGTGGTTACAGCACTTGCTCAGAGATACATCGCAGGTCCACTCAGCGACGACCTTCCAAAGTCTGGACTTGGTGCAGTACTCGATGGCACTTTTCGCACCATCGGGGCCTTCAGCGAGCAGGGTCTTGTCCCGCTGCCTCGAGGCTTGAACTTCATTGAAGGCGCAGCCCTGGCTTGTGCTGGTGTTACTGCTTGGAACGCCCTCTTTGGACTAGCAGGCAAACAAGTCTCTGCTGGGCAATGGGTTCTCACGCAGGGCACGGGCGGAGTTAGTATCTTTGCCGTTCAATTCGCCAAAGCCGTCGGAGCGAGGGTCATTGCCACCACCAGCTCTACCGAGAAGGCCAAACTTCTTGAGAAGCTCGGTGTTGACCATATTATCAACTATCGTGAGACGATTGATTGGGGAAAAGAGGCCAAAAGGTTGACCGGAGGCGTTGGCGTGGACTTGGTCGTCGAAGTTGCGGGACCAACGACTTTGAGGCAAAGTCTTGTCAGTTGCAGACTGGACGGCACTATCGTCACCACCGGGTTTGCTGGCGGTAATCCGTCTGAGCACGACATGCCAACGTTTCTGGATTCGTGGCTGAGTCTAGTTACCGTTCGAGGAGTCTGGTGTGGCAGTCGGCTACAGCTTGAAGAGATGTGTCGGGTCATCGAGGCCGACGTAGACAAGCTGCGCCCCGTTATTGATCCCAAGGTCTTTAATCTGGAACAACTGAAGGAGGCGTACGAGTATCTGCAGTCAGGAAAACACCAGGGAAAAGTTGGCATCGAGATCAATTGAAGGCAGCTGAGCATGGCTCAGATGGGGAGTGACTTTATTTCGCAATTATTCCACGAAAGATGTCTCTTAGATACAAAAAACAAGGTTCCTTGTGCACTCTTGCTCAACCTCACTTGTGGACATGAACTAGGTCTTGAAGCTTTCTCTGTATCTCGTCACCGTTTCTCAGTGGACATCAGTAAGTCAGAGTTTGTTGGGTAAGAAAGCTCCATCGGTATTCCAAGAGAGATGTCTCTGGAAGCAAACATTAGTGAGGCTCAAGGCGACTTTTATGACTTAGTTTTTACTTACTCAGAGTGATACATCCGGGCTGTTTTCACAAACTCTACCTTGACTTTGCGACACTGGTTACCAAATATCACAAATGAAGCACGAAAAGCGAATTGGCAGGACATTTATTGTTCGTATAGGTAGACATATCGATGAATAATGATAGTCGAAGAGATTCAGCAACTGATTTGAGACCAAAGCACAACACCATATTCATCAAAAGACTTGTAAACTGTGCCGAAAACCAACTTTCCGTTGTCTGTTGAGTCATGACTAACTTATCTCATACTCACCAATGCAGTTCAAGATTGAGAGATGCAAGAAGCAAAAGTCTAAGCTCCTGGCGTTTGGCCAAAGCTTCCCGAAAGGAGCTTCTCCGCAATGGGTAGACAAAGTCAATTATACTACACTCACTATAGACACATGGCCTGCGTTATGCCCTTTGTTTTCAATAAGAGTAGAGTTCATGCAAACTTCGTGCCCCTAACTCTAAAGTCAAGATTTTCTGCCGGCAGATTATACCCTCAATCCGAGGCAGTTCTGCCTCAGAGTATCGAAATTCTTCTACCTGCGGGGCAGAGATGTGTCACTGAGATCAATTTACGTCATTGATCCTTTTCATCTGCTCTCATCTCCAACACCAATGCTCATCTGTACATGTTTCGGATGATTGTGACTGATATTCTTTTCGCTCGCAATCAATTCTTCTAGTCTCAAGAAACTTCCAAACTCACATTGTTCAATTGTCAGGCGCATCTTAAGCATCATTCGGCTGAGCATTCGGCAAAGTAGTCCCTCGCTTAACAATTGTCCACCAGCGAGAAGAACGGATCGTTAGACTTCCCGGAGAAACGAAACGAAAAGAGCGTTGCCCCAAAACGCAGAGACCATGACGGGACGAAGCTGAGGTGGTGCGCGTGTCCATCTGGGAAGTCAATGCTTGATTCAGGCCAATCGTCTTGCAAAGATGTCGGACATTAAACGTCCCGATACCTCACAAGTGCCATGCATCATAAACCTTCAGACATTGGCGCAAACTTCATTAGATGACCAGAGTTCGTCATCGTAAACATGACTTGCTGAGACTGCGCTTATTGATGAATCACAACATTTCAACTGGCTTTTGAGGCTTCAACAACGCCTGTCCCACATCCCGGCTCCAACCTCTATAGCGAGTGTCAGGTTGATTGCAGATTCGTGGAATCCGATGGGGGCCCCTGCTTTCGGGCTCTAGACCGGTTGGTTCGACGCGCCCCTGACTCAAAGAGATTAGTCGGTGGAGACGGGAGAGAATAAGGGGTGGTGCGCCTCAACTGGGCAGAAGATAGCAACTTCACCCGCATATCAACTCGGACTCTAACAACGCTCGTTGGTCGATGTCATGTTCCTGATTGACATGAAACGCTGTCATTAGCAAGATGCAGGTCTTGATCCCCACAAAATCCTTCTTGCTCAAGAACAAGCGCTTGATCGGTGCAACGGCCGACGCACTAAACAAACCTTGACATATGATGTTGGCCATTTCAGGTCATATCGACAGAGCCCGTTGATTCCGAATGGATCCAACCGAACAAAGCCCTGCAATATCCACTGAGCCGCGTTGCCAGGCATGCCAGTTATTCCCAAAATGTGCTGTTCACCCGTTCGGACGGATGAGGGTCTCTAAATGTCCTCCAATCAGTGAGGCCATATTCTTCTTCTGTTGCGCTCGCCAAGACTGAATCTGGAAGATATATAACACATTGCCTTGGCACCCTACTTGGCGTTTGTTTCCCCAGCCAGTCTCCGATTCTCACCACCACTCACTTTCTTGTTCGATTCACTACCGTCGTTCTCTTTTCTCCACGCCAAGATGGCCAAGTTTTTCGCCCCTGCTGCGGCTCTGCTGAACGTCGTTCTGGTAGCGGCGTCTCCTCGTGGCCACCACGGATCTCACATTCGTTACACAAACACCATTCCTCGCGCAAGCAACGCCGTAAGTCAGCCCTATGCGATCCACGACCCATCCTATGCGCGCCAAGACCCGGCAATCTGACTGATCCGTTTCTCGCCCACTTTAGACCGGCTGTGTTGTCACCAAGTACGATGACATTGCGAACGCTGTCAAGACATGCACCGACATCACGCTCTCTAACATTGCTGCACCTTCCAATGGTGCTATCGATCTTTCCAAGCTTCAGACGGGCACCAAAGTCACATTCGACGGCACAACTGTATGTTTTTTGATTTGCGACTGGAAGAAAGATCGAGTACTAACTTCGCGCCCAGACTTTTGCCGATACCGTCGACAGCAGCTTCGACCCCATCATCATCTCCGGAACCAACATCGTCGTTACTGGCGCTCCCGGACATGTGATTGAGGGCAATGGTGCCGCTTACTGGGACGGTCTTGGATCCAACGGTGGTGGCGACAAGTGAGTGGCTACTTCCCAATGGCAGGCAACGGTTTAAAGCTGACAAGTGAAAATAGGCCTAACCACTTCGTTGTCGTCAAGAAGACCACCAACGCCAAGATCACCAACCTGAACATCAAGAACTGGCCCGTCCACTGCTTCTCCATGACCGGCAACCAGGGCCTCACCGTCTCAGGCCTTGTCCTCGACAACTCTGCCGGTGACGCGCCCAACTCCAAGAGCGGCAGCAAGGCCGCCGCCCACAACAGTGACGGCTTCGACATCTCTTCCAGCGATAACGTCCTGCTCGAGAACATCAAGGTCCACAACCAGGACGACTGCGTCGCCGTCACCAGTGGAACCAAGATCACTGTCAACAACCTCTACTGCTACGGAGGTCACGGCCTCAGCATCGGCTCCATCGGCGGCAAGAGCAACAACACCGTTGACGGTGTTGTCTTTTCCAACTCCCAGGTCGTCAAGAGCTCCAACGGTTGCCGTATCAAGTCCAACTCCAACACCACTGGCGAGGTCAGCAACGTCACATACAAGAACATCACCCTCACCGATATCGACACCTATGGCATTGATGTCCAGCAGGACTACCTTAACGGTGGCCCGACTGGCTCGCCCACCAACGGAGTCAAGATTTCTGGCATTCACTTCATCGATGTGACTGGAACTGCCACTAGCGACGCCTACAACTACTACATCCTCTGCGGCGACGGCAGTTGCTCCGACATCACCTTTGAGAACACCAAGATCACGGGAGGCGGCAAGACCAGCAGCTGCAACTTCCCCGCCAGCGGATGCCCGGCATGAACGAAGATACCGTTCTCTGTAAATATTCAAACAATGTGAAATAAGGATACAACGCATATATTACGATCTCGTTTTCGCCGGCGGTTTCGGCAATCCGGCACGGGGCATGTGGGACTTCCGGCGCCGGGTGGGTCCTGGAACAGCTTAGCTAATTGAATCTTTCATCTTTCATCATGAAGTTGCCCGCTCAGTGAAGAGTGACTGACATGTCTGCTAAGCAAATTTGAATGAACCATATGACGGCGACCTATACTTTTGGTACACTTCTAGAGGTTAGTAACCTTTTTGTAGCTTTTATTGACTTTTAGTTGTGTTTTCTGGCAGGGCCGATGTGTTCCGCCAGTTTCGGGGCTTGACCAGCGCCCTCTGTGGCGCCTTGGCAGACCCCTCAGACTGCATTTAAGCAGCAATGACCCCAAATCCCCCAAGCCTGCACTGTCGTCCTTCCTGTGACCATTACAGTGAATGAACATGGACTCTGAAAACACACGGAATCAGCTTTCGAGCAACGCACCACGTCGACAAGCGCTCAATGTAAGCATTGAAGTCAGAATAGGTTTGACGTTGCTTACAATCTCGCAAAGGTCTGCGCGCCGTGTCGAGAGAGGAAGACGAAATGTGATGAAGCCAAACCTTTTTGCGGGCGATGTAGAAGGTTGGGGCTGCAATGTGCATATATTGAAACCGTCACATCGAAGTAATGCAGCATGCTTGCCCTAGTGAAGGGTTCCAGTCGACTGACTCTCGCCAAGGAAGAACCTCTCTGTCACAGAGTTGAATGACACACTGAAGTGGATGGAAGCTAAGTTGGATGCTCTCATGGAGAATGCTCACGACTTTCGAATCACTTCAGATGAGCAGTCACGGCCACAGAACCATCACGACACGACGGCTGAGAACCCTGGCCCGATGGGAGAAGTTAGTCCGATGAGCGTATTCTCGCCTTCCAAGCTAGGATCGGTACAGATCCGCCAGGAACTCGCCATCCCGGAAAAGCACTACACGGCACCCCAGCATCTTCTCTCATGGCCTTGTTCTCCCCTCACTTTGGCGGAGCTTGATCTGCGATACCCAGTCGCGTTGGAGATCCAGCGACCCAAGATACGCAGAAGTAGAGCACTCCCACGATGCCTTGCTGGAACTTCCTCGCCAGATGATAGTTGGCTGTCCAACCTGTCGCTGGCGCAATTGCGTGATCTAGCCGACTCTTACTTCAGCCACTTTCACCCCCAATACCTTGTATTGGACGAAGATCGGTTCTATAGCCATCACCTCAATCAAGCTCTCAGGGTAGGGTTTGCTGGTAGTCTTGATAGTTGCCTGGTAGCACTCGTCCTCTCGCTCGGCTCTGTAGCTGCTTGTCAGACTGGTAAAACAGAATGGGTCCAGTCCGACTCCATGGATGCCATGCTAGATCACGAGGCTGGTCTTGGCTTTTTCACCATTGCGTGTGATATGTTCCGAGATGTCGAAGAAACCGACTGGGTGAGCGTCCAGTGTCTTTTGCTCATGGCG